TCTGCAAATGGTCCCTGCCCTTGAGCCTGCAGGAAGTGGATGAGCAGCCCCAGCATCTGCTGCCGGTCAGATGCACCAGGGCGGAGGTAGCCGAGCTGGGCCAATTGCTGACCCCACCTAGGTTAAGAACTGGCCCACCAGTGTTGCATAGCATGTCCTTGATCTGGGTAAACTCTACACTTGGTCATGCCAGATCCGGAAGCGCCCAGCAGGAAGGAGCCCAAATGCAGGGACTGGCACCCTTTTCTGGTGGTGAACACGAAGGGCAATGACATCAACAGTGGTACAGTCCTCTCCCATTAGGGCAGCTCTGGGCCTCCCATGGGGATAGGCCTTCACTGCTACAACTGGCTGGTTTAAGAGCAGAATGGGTCACTGAAGTGTGACAAGCCCATTCCCAGCAACCGATCTGGAGACCACTGTGGCAAAATCAAAGTGGCATCCTTCCGCAAAAAGCATGAGCTCGGGCCGCCAGTGGCCGGCATGTGTTACCAGGCTGAATGGGATGACTATGTGCTCAAACTCTATGAGCAGCTGTCTGGGAAGTAGGGGAATGCTAGGAGACAGAAACCAGCCCGGAGGTCTCCAGCTGTGGTCTCTAGTTCAGTGATGCATGTAGATTTCTCGGCTTCCCGGTTCTCGTTCTCACAGGCGAGGCCTGAGCAATCAGGTAGTGGTTTAGGGTGACTTTTCCTTCTGCCTATCCTTTATAATTCTAGAGGGTCACACCCCGGTTTATGTTCTGATCAAATTTGAACTCCATTTTGGGGGATATTTTGGTGCTAGGATGAGGTCATCAAATTGTGAAAAGAATAGCAACCCAGAATTTAAAGAAGAAAAAATGCAGGTAAAAAATCAGGTCTATGGTAATAGAGCAGAGCATCAACGAATCTTTAAGAGAGGTTTAAAAAAGAGAGAGATTCATTGCCTCTGCTTTTGTGAGCCTGAGTCCAGAATTGTGCAAGATGGCATTTCGGGGGCATGTTTTCACAGCCATGTCTCTCACCAAGACAGCCAGAAGCTGGCCTGTCCCCTAGACCCCAGTGTAGTACATCTTGGACTTGTTACTGGGGCCAGTGTCCCACTCTGGCTACTTTAGAGAGCAGTACTGGAAAAAGCAATAGGGAGAATTGCTTTGTGGTTAAGGCCAGGCTATCTCCCTGAGGTGCAGGACTGGGTGAGAGGCTCTCAGAAATCCCAGCTGCACCTGTTAAACTGGTTACTCTTCGTCTGTGTAAGAAAATGGATCTGGAGTTGTGGAATGTTATGTTACTTCTGCTGTTTGCTTATAGCTGAATAAAAATAAAAAAACATTGTGTGAGTGAGAAAAAGGAAGGAAGGAAGGA